GCGCTTCGAAGAAGTTGACGACAAGCATCGTTAGAGGTACACTCGGATCGTTCTTCAACCTCTGCACATCTCTCCACATGCAAAGACGAATCTGTCGCCAGTAGGAAAGAGTATAGGGTGACTTCTGCCGTTGCTTCTTCGATTTCTCCATGGTTCTCGAAAGCGCAAAGCGTTCGTGTTGCTCCCCTTTGAGGGGATACATGTTGTTGTATTCCTCTATCGCTTGCAATAGCCGTTGACGGTCGGGGCTTTCTTTCCAGCATCGAGCAAAGTCGTCGGAGGTACGCGGTGTTTTGCCTTCGAAGCCTGGCCTGATACGGCGCTCAGAGGCTGACGTCATTGATGTAAGGAAGTCGGGCGTAGTCTGGGAGGCAGGGCATTCGAAGCCAAGGCGTTCGAAATATGCGCGTGCTTCGTTCGCTGGTCCGAAGTAGATCTGTCGGCCTTCGTAAAGTACGGTCACTTTGTCGAAAACCTGTGGGGAATCAGCATTGCTATTTTTCCATGTAATCATGCTATAGCTTACCTCATACGCGGCTTGTGGAGCTTGGTAAATGGCGATGACACATGCTGCCCCAAAGACGTCGCACTGGGTTCGGAGTGTCTTGCAAAACTCCACGGCATTAGCAGAATCAAGTCCACGAGTCGAGTTGTCCCATAGTTGAAGTGGGGCAAAACTGAGAGATGCTTCCGCGATCGTCACTCTCTTGCGCTCGCCGCCGCTGACTCCTCGTACGAAGTCGTTGCCAACGCGTGTGTTGGCCGTGTGCGAGATGCCGTACATGGCCATTATGACCTGTCAAGAGTCAGTAATCGTACCGGTTGAGTCCCAACTAGAGTACGTACATCTCGAAGATGCTCGGCATAGCGCCGACGACTGATGCCACCAGGAATGGTACGAGGTGCTCGAGCCAGAGCCGCGAAGTAAAGCGTGTCACCAACGCTCAGCTGGGGGAAATGCGCGTCAACCTCAGCGGTATAGATAGCTTCCCCACGGAACACGGTGTTCATGTCCTTTGCTGGTACTCCTTGGTAGTTGAGATACGAGTCAGGGCTGACTTGGAAGCCATGAGTCTCGCCTGCGATGGTCTTCAAAAGGGTAGAACACCCTGATCTACTAGTCGTTAGTCCAAGTTGCTGAATACAACAACAGTGAAACGTACCCAGGTGGTCCCAAGACACATAATTGCTCTCCAGGAAGGAGCAATCCATCCAGGTCTCGCAAGATCTCGATCTTCTGCGTGCCTCTGCCAAACAGCGAAGGAAGCTTCAATATTGTGTTCCCTACTGTCGACTGGAAGTCGGTTGGTGAACCTTTGCCCCACACGTTCAGGCCTCTGAAAGCAACGCCCGCTACGCGAGGAATGGTTTCCTCGCTACTATAACGCAGGTTATAGAAAGAGCGCGCCCAATCCTTGGCACGGAATTGGTCACCTCTAGGATCAAGTCCTCCATGTGCATCTTCGGCGAAAGGTGAGCCAAAATGTTGCTGTTCAGACTGTGTTGTAAACTTGCGCACGAGCTCGTGGATGTCTCGATCACGCTGTGCTTCCTGTCGAACTTTGGTCTCGTCGTCAACTCCTGTGAGACTGGAGCTAGCGTCCGACTTCAGATCTACGCGGTCAACACGTGCTTCTTCGTTTGTCGCTTGCGCCTCTGTGAAGCCTAATGCAGCTGACATGCTGGTCAGAAAGGCAGGTCCAACTTCGGGGAAACTGCGACCAGGTGAATGCGTCAATCCAGGTATGCCTGGTTCCTAGTGGTCACGAACAACGTTAGTCAATGTTCTCAACTGGGGTGTATGCACGAGGATACGTACGGTTGGGAGCCCGTGAACAGATCGATTAGCGCTCGCTAAGTGTGAGCAGGGGGAGATCTGAGATGGCGATGTTTGACAGAGCCCGTAGCCCTGGTAGATTTACCTTATATCATACGATGCTTTTTTGCAATCCATGCCTTTACGACTGTGGATGATGTAAGTTCCTGCCTCGAAAGTCCCGGAAGTCCATGCCCAGGTGCCATGATTGCAGACAGTTGTCTTCGGCAATCTTGGCGCGAATGAATCGAAGTGAGCGTTCGCGTCCAGGGCTGCTGTTGGTTCCTGAAACGTGCAGGGTGCGGACATTCGGCAAAGCCCGAAAGTCCGTGGAAACCCTCGGGCTCCGTGCTGCACCAAGCCTCCATCTCCACCCTCTACGAAGGATCGATCACATTATCTATTTTCTATGCGCGAGACCCCGGGACTCCGCCCGCCGAAAATTCCGCTGTCGCGCGCAACCCTTTTTCCGGAAATTCGGTGTGCTTTTAGCGAACGCTTTTAAGATGACGATGAAGCTTGCCGTAGGTACCTGCCCTAAACCTACGTCCGCGGGAACAAACCATCTGCTAAGCTGCCATTGAAGTGTCTTCGTTGTAAACGAAAGAAGATCAAATGCGACAAAGCAGAGCCGATTTGCCATCAATGTATTGCCGCCAAGGAAGAATGCCATTATGTAGAGCGCAGACAACGCCCGCGCCATGCCCACCAGAAGGCTGTCGTACAGCATCTCAGCCAGCGACTAGAACAACTAGAGAAGCAAATTAGCGACGCTGGTGATGATCGTTCGTCATCTGTATCCGAAGTCGTGCCCAGACGCGATAGTATCCGAAAGAGCACTCCGGTGCCTTCACCCGAGGCCTCATTAAATGTGGCTGATGGCCAGGATTCATGGGTAATAACAGCCACAACCGGAGGCGCTCGTGTTTGCTGCGTTTTGTCTTGATATCTCGACCTCCCCGAAGGTATCCATAGCATTTCACATGGTCAACGTCCTGTCAGAACATCCCATGCGGACTTACGATGTCTTATCTTCTACTGTGTTACGAAGCACATGAGGTACATATAGCGGCAAAGGGTTTGGGTCGGCGATACAGCTTCAAAAACGCATCCCTTCATATGAGGAGCCATCAGCACACGACTCAGCACACACGAGCGCCTTCGAAAATCTTCTCAACTATCATCACAGCTAATCATGATAGATCTACCGACTTGCGACGGACACAAGACGCAGCTTCCAACACAAGGCTACCCCAGTCTCGACACCAACACCAAGCATCGACAACGCAATGCTGTCTCTCAACGAAGCGCTCGAAGACCTTGGAAAGTTGAGGGTGCGCACTGAGACGCACAGCGCGGATCTGAATCTATCCTCGGCAGAAGCGCGGACGTGTATTGACGGCTTTATCTCCGTCATGAGCTCAATGCTTGCGCCAGATGCATTTTCTCGTTCCGTGATCGATACTGACCTCCTTTACGCGCTCCCCGATATCATCAAGTCTCCTTACGTCAACATCGATCCCGTGGTCCGCGTTATGTAGTAAGCAACTTATGCCTATTGAGGTTGTGTGCCACGTGCTGACTTTAGGTGGCTTCAAGCTACAATGCTCTGTTTTATGGACTGCAGCTGACTGACGGCCCGGGAGGAGATCTAACGACGAAGGCATACATGAAGATGCTCGAGAGCGTACCTGCTTGGCTCGCATCTCCAGGTGATACGAATATGGACGTACATATTGCAGCCCTCTCAGCATGGACGGCCATGACTACTCACGACTACCAACTGGCATGGAAGTTCCACTGCAAGTCATGCCAACACATTAAGTCGATCGGAATAGATCGGCTAGACACGGTTCCGGCAAAGTCCTTCGAAGAGGAAACCGAGAGAGATGTTGGTCGCTACACGTACTGGTACGTTGTCTCCATCGACACGTTCTTCCGTTTGTTCTATGGGAAGCCCACTGTTCTGCGATGGTCGCCAAACAAGGTCCGCCCGCCCCTACTCTTTCGTCCCGACAACATGCATCCTTCGGCGCTCCATGTTACCATCAGTGTCGTGTGGGTGCGATATACCCTGTTGACCGTAGAGGCGATCGGTTACATTGACGAAAACCCGCCACACGATCGCAACAGCTGTGTCCAAAAGGCTGACGAAGCTTGTTCGCAAATGGAAGACCTCATCAGCGAATGGAGATTGGAGGAGGTGATGAACGGCAAAGAGACTACGGATGATGTTCGCTGTCTTCTTGCAGATCACATCAGTAGGTAAAGTGCGGCAATGAGCTAAGATTGAGCTGACCTCAAATTCAGTGAACATATATGCGACTATCATCGGTATTCAGAGGCTGGTACAACAGCACCGAACCAGACCCGGACCTAAGGACATCACCCTCAGAGCCGCACGAAGAGTTTTGAGCATTATCCTTGACTTTTATGCGGATATTAACCTTAACGCCAAGTTTAAGAGTATCACGAATCAGTAAGCCGCCACTCTCTTTACTTCGCGCCAAGCATCCGCTGACTTGGCCCAGTTTCATAACGCTCTACCCTTTCTGCGTCGTGTTCACACTCTACGAACACATTGTGGCGTGTACCAATCCAGATGATTGCGAAAGCGATATACAATCTCTCGAGACGATCGGCGTCGCCATGGCGCAAAGCTGCGCAGAGCGTCAGGACTTGATACCGTTTGCCAAGACGATCAATGCACTGAACAGGGTCTCGCGGAGTCTACAAGATGAGAGACGCAGAGGCCCAGCCACCGTGGATTCCAGCGACAGCGTTGCTCAAGGGATGAACATGCCGCCGACAAGTTTCGATACGATCCAGAACTTGATGGCCAGCGAACTCCCAGACATTGACATGTCGGCCTTTTCATCGATGCCGGACTACACCGCGAATATGGATGGCGACTTCCAATCTCTCGGCTTCTTGAGGGGGCTTGAGAATGACTTTGTCACGCGGAATTGGCAGACTGATTGGTGGGATCTTGGTGGTGGGGGTGATGGCGACATAAGCCAGATGCCAGCGACGGATCCCACAGGCTTTCCCTACACTCCACACACATGAGGAGGGCAAACTGTCAACGAAACTCGGCCTTGAAGGGGCGATGGATCGCTTCGGTGAAATCTGGGTGTATATATTACTATTCGCACGTCTGTATCATAGCTGTTTTAGGGTAGAGATGTATGGTTTGCTTACTGAATAGAGAATCTGGAATTGCGTCTACCAGAGAACATGCGGCACATCCACCGGTCAGCTTAAAAGAGAACACCTTAACCGCATACAATTTCATTCCTTGAACAGTTGAGCATATTTTCAAAATGTCACAATTACGCCCCCAAACTACACGCTCCACCGACTTCCTCACACAAAGCCTCCCAAAAGTCTTTGAACCAGCCTCCTTCCTCAATAAATCGCGTGCGGTCCACTTCCCAGTAACAATGCAACCTCCATTTCCCTCTCCCACAGCAACCTGGCACAACGAGTCCTACGCCGCCATCGACCCATCGAATCCCAATCTCAGCCAAATAGGAAAAACAGTCATCATAACCGGAGCCGGTAGCGGCATCGATTGCGCAACCGCTCTTGCCTTTGCCAAAGCACATGCAGCAAGAGTGATCCTAAGCGGACGTACTGAGTCGACCCTTCAAGAAACCGAGAAGCTACGTGGTGACAGCAAGTCAGACTGCATGATCTTCCCCGTTTCAGCAACCGACGAGACTGCGATGCAGAATGTTGCTGAACAGGTCGGCGCATGGGATGTCCTCGTTCTTGCCGCAGCGCACGTCTCTTCGCCGATTTCGATCGTCCAGAGTTCGCCGCAAGACTGGTGGGCACGCTATGAAATGACTGTGAAGGGTGTCATCATCGCTCCATAGGCTTTCGTTCCTAGTGAAAAGGCTGGCGGTGTGTTGTACACGCTCGTAGCAGGAGCGACAGCCTTACCACCTGCGTATACACCAGGACTGTCGGGCTACCTGTCTTCAAAGGTCGCGCAGACAAAGATCGTCGAGTTCCTTGCTGCGGAGAACCCAGATCTGTTGGCGTGTGAATCCTAGAATGGCGGATACAGGTATCTTCCGAGGCAGTGGTGCTGATCCACCGCGATTGCCGATGGGCTCTGATAAGTGTGTATCAGAAAGGGCGAGGACAAATGCTAACTACTCCGCAGCGGAGCACAGCGCAAACTTCCTAGTTTGACTGTCGCAACCAAAGCTGAGTGTGCAGCGATAGTTACGTGATATTTGATATTCTCCCCAACTTCATTCATGTCAACACAAGAGTGTGGGTTGATAGATGGTACCTAGGGACTAGGTCCCCCAAAAGAGTAGATGCATGTCGATGAGACATGCGGGTTCAAGAAAACGGAATCGAGCCACAAGGACTAACGAAGCCGTGCACCCGGCTAAGAGGGAATCTACCGCACAAGGCAAGTAGACGCGCCCAAAGTGGATGTCCCAGATGTGCTGCAGCGTAGAGCACAGTACCGGGGCGCTACAGTTAAGAGCGACGGGGTGTTTACAAGTAAACGTGACCAACGAGCAAAGCGCCGACTGCACATCATCAGGATATGTGACAGAGACGAAAAGTTCGCGGTGAGGAGCAAAGGAGCGACGGGCAAAAAGTTGTATATATCGAGCAGACGCTAACAGACGCATGGACCATGTAGCAAACAACCAGCGATGAGTGATGAGTCCGAAAGCGCCCTCACCAATACTCATACACCCCATGCAAGGAAAACCTAGACACCCTAGAGCCTACATTAAAATATAAAGATGCAAAGTATCTGATCTAACCTCAACGTAGGCTCTAGGGTGTCTAGCTTTTTTCTTGAGTAAGTTGCCTCAGTCTCTCTTGTTACTGCTAACGCTATCGGGGCACACAACGTCTTCTCGTTGTCAAATACCCGCATTTACGAGGTATAATGTAAAGAACTCAACGCAGGTCGATGACGGCACCTGGGCAGTTGATGCTGGTGTCGTCACGTGCCTGCTGGTACCTGAATCCATATCAATCTTCTTCACGTCCAACCAAAACCCAAAGCCAGCCTCTGAGATCAACAAAGAGCTACTTCACGTCTTCCCTCCCCCATAAACCAACCACCACACCCATCCATCCATCTCCCTATTCCCTAGGCCTCCAAATCACCTGACCCTCACAAGCCAGCCGCCCCGCCAAGTCCCTCCAGTGCCACACCAAGCCCCCAAGCTCCAACGGCGCAACCGCCATAACCAACAAGTGCGAAACTCTGAACACGCGTTTCGCACCAACAACCCCAACAAAACAACGACTTTTCAGTGTTGACTCAGCCCCAACAGCCGTTGGTGGTCAAGCCACAGCTGTTGCGAGTCAAACTAAGAGTCCAGTTATATGACATCATCGACCGCATCGACCGGAAGGAGCGATCCGCGGAAGTTGCTTCCTCCGATTCCGAAGCATGGAAGGTCACACACGTGGACCAGCTAACGGGCTAGCCTTAGCAGGGAAGGAGCGAACATCACAGGGTACGCAACCAAGTTTGCGAAAGTCTAACGAGTCCAAAGTTTGAGGACACGAGGCCAGGGAAATTTGACAAGTTGATCTTGAGCGTCATGAGCGATAGCTTTCGTGATTAGTTATCTGCGTGTTCGTATACGAGATCTACGGATTCGCGTCGTTCTGTGTGTGGCTACAATCTCCGCCTCGTAATAGAGAACATCCTCATTTCAATGTGGATAGTTATGCATAGTAGAAAACACCCAAGTCCTTAACGCCGTTATGCGGTATCCAACAATTTCTCCCGGAGCATTAATACAACTCTTCGGTGTTGGATCCCCCGCAATTCATAATTCATCCTCTACATGTATCACCGTGCCTCCGCGGTAACCTCAGCCGCTGGCTTTGGCATAGGCTTGAGCTCCGAGCCTGCCCCGCTCTCAGCCCGCTTCCGGCCTGTGAGGGAGAAGTGATGGCTCGAGCTAGGTCGCTCTTCCGTTTTGTCGGTGTTGTTGTTATCACCGAAGCGCGAGAAGATGCTGCGCTTCTTTGGCTGCGGCTTCGGCTCGTCGTTCAGGCCCACCTCCTCAAACCCCTCCTCGGGCACTTGCTCGTGGCTTTCGCTGTGGCGGGGTTGTTGCATCGAGGAGCGCGGTGTGGCGCGCGAACGGCGGACGTCGAGCGAACGTCTGGTATCTACGGAGCGGCGCGCATCGAGCGACTGGCGGGGGTACGTCTCGTGGACATTGTCTTGGATTGGGGAGCGCGCGGAGATGTCCTGTACTGATTAGCGGGGTCTTGCCACTGGTCGCATAACATACAAATGACCGCCTGTACGAGTCGAAACTCTCGCGCGAGATGCTGAACGGCTCGTTCTCGGCGAGCAGACTGCGGTGATTTGAAGATGTGGTCGAGATGTTGGACTTGGAGTGCCAGAAGGTGGGCTTCTCTTGCTGAGGGCTCGGCTGTCGCAACGTCAATCAATGTCTCACGCGATGACATGCGCGCGTGTCGCTGTCCCTCCTGCATCCACAATCACATGGGTTTGACATTGCTTACCGGTAGATACACGCCGCTGTCGTTTATTTCTATCACATGGTAAGCGCCCGCTCAGCCGATGCAGTGATGCCGCCCCAGGAACATGCTCATGTTTGAGCCCCAGGCGCATTCGCAGGAAATCTCACCACTCAATTTGTACTCGACAGGGTCCTTGACCTGCACGGGTGCGGCGCCCGAAACAGCTGTGCTCTTGAAACCGTTCTCCGGCGCGCTCCGCTGGGCCTCATCGACGGCCTCAGGCACACCCGCGCGACGAAAGGGATTGCGGATAGGCATGGTGGTAGGGCGCTAGGGATCAAACAAGGCGGTACGAGAACAGAGTGGGGAGTTTCAGTAGGCTGGTGTAGATTGAAAAGGCGAAGAGGAATGGTAGGTCGCGGCTGAGATCATGACTTCTGCGCGGCGCCAATCGGGCAGGAACCAATTGCCCTAATGTGGCATCGCCTCGGCACCTACCAAGTCCCGATTCAATCTTGGAATGTCCTCGTGTGAGAGGTTGGCGCAAAACCAAAGACGTCATGTCGCAGACGCGCAGACTTGATTGACTGTTGTCTGTAGAGATTTCATCAGCTGTCGAACCAGGCACGCTCTGGGGCGCAGATCAGACTGATCCCTGCCGACGGAAGTCAGGTACCAGAGAGCCCCTCAGCTCACCACAGCCGCGCCTCAAAACAGCTTGTTTGCACCTCACACAGGCTGACCTGCGTTATCGCGACTAGAGAACTGCTCACCGGCGGTATCCTTACCTTTGCGCTGGCACGAACATTCGCTACGGCACCTTGCGTTAGGTGGATGTGATGCGGTGATGAGGCAACTCATCTAAATCAGGCTGCGACGGGAGGTTGCGCCTCATATCCGAAACATTGGAAGATCTTCGCGGTTAAAGACGATGGTTTCTGTGCCTCAGCCATCAGCCTCTGCACGATTCGAAGTTCGCACGGCCGACTCCACTGCTGTCGGCCCCTCTTTACTCGATCTGTGACCGGGGTAATATGTGCGGAACATGAGGCTGTGCCCATGTAAGCAAGGTCGGCAATGTTCGAGATCCCGGCGAAGTTACATGAGATATTTCGAGTGTAAACACTGCAGGCGATCCATGTGATGGAATGGTACCTGCGAACTCTCGAGACGGACCTACCGCGGTAAGTAGGGTCTGGTGCTTGAGTCTCCCCGACAACACTTTGGAATGTTTTGAGATGCCGTTTGCCCTGGCTACGGATACTACGGATACTTGCTAACGGTAGCCGCATGGGAAGAAGGAATTCGCTGTACATGAACCACTTGGAGATGCCGTATCCGCGACGCTGGGTCGGAAGATCAGCGTACGGTAGTCAGGTCAACTCAGCCTTGGTGAAGTGTAGGAATGTAGTCGCATTAATGCCTTTTGTTCAGCAATATCGCGCTAGATACAGAGAGTGTTAGTAGCTAGCTGTTGGTCAGTGGACAGCTCAACGCAAGGCTGCGTCCAGGCTGGACTGCTGCAAAGCAAACACGCATGCGGCAAACATCCCCACCGACGCTTGTCGAAGTGCATGGAGCAGATGCCAATCATGCCTTGCAGCTTCCCCTCACCTTGATCACCACTGCGGCCTAGTTGCAGCACAAAGCTCGTTCACTTGTGCGGTTGTGGTGAGGAGCTCCTAATCTTATACGAGCGCGATTATAATGCCCAGAAACTGGAAAGCGCCGGCGCATTATTTGAAGTTTTCGGATCATGAGATGGCATGGGTACGAAGGATTCGTGGATACGAGGACTAGGGTTGAGTCAATAATTTCGCGGCTTACTTTGCAGCACTAAGTCGCCTTGTGCATCGTTTGCCTTGGCTGAGGCACCAAGACGGAATCACCATCATCGTCTCGTCATGATCCAATTTTCTAGAACGAGAAGTGGCTTCCGATGACTTGTGGCTGAACGCCGGGAGAGAAAAATGGAACCGACCGAGGGGCCAACATTGAGTACGGCCAACACGTTCACCATGGCAAGGGCTTTCGTTGGGTAATTGTGTAGAGATGATGCTTTTTGGAGGTACTGAAAGAACAATTAGTATGACTAAAGATCGTGTGTGATCAGTGCGCACTGGCGAGTGGTAGTAGATTCCGCCAATCGATAGAGTCCCGGCATGGTGGCGAGCGAGGAGATGACCCCAAAGCGTGCGCTGGAGAAAAGAATTTGGAACCGGCCGGGAGCGGTGTGCTGGGAGTGACCGTTACACCAGAGTAGATGCGGTGCGCCGTGCAAAGAAAGCAAGGACGTGCCCCGCTCCCATCCAGGTCTGTGAGATACCATCATGGTGGAGAAGCGAAAACCCGATGCGTGAGATGAACCTTGAAGAGTGCCAAGCAG